GACACAACATAGAATAGATACCGGCGATCATCCCCCGATCAAGCAACATCCAAGACGTCTACCGTTTGCTAAACAGGAAGAGGTGAGAACACTGTTAAAAGATATGGAAGAAAGCGATGTCATCGAGCCTTCAGTAAGTCCATGGGCATCTCCCATCGTCCTAGTCAGAAAGAAAGACGGCTCAACAAGATTTTGCGTCGACTATCGCCGGTTGAATGAGGTTACGAAGAAAGACAGTTACCCTCTTCCTAGAATTGACGACATTCTAGACACTCTTTCTGGCAGCAAGTGGTTCTCAACACTTGATTTAAAGAGTGGGTATTGGCAGGTAGAAATACAGCCTGAAGACCGAGAAAAAGACGGCATTTACTACGGGACAAGGGCTTTGGCAATTCAAGGTGATGCCGTTTGGTCTGTAATATGCGCCGGCAACATTCGAACGTCTTATGGAAACTGTTTTGAAAGGCCTTTCCTACGAAGCCTGCCTCATATACCTGGACGACATCATCATCATCGTCGGAAAGAGTTTTGAAGAACATTTAGAAAATCTTAGGAAGGTGCTTCAGAAACTGAAAGAAGCCAATCTGAAGCTGAGTCCCGCTAAATGCAAATTGTTCCGAAAGGAAGTGACTTACCTAGGACATGTCATTTCTGCAGAAGGTGTGCGCACGGATCCTGAAAAGGTATCAGCCGTTAAATCCTGGAAACGTCCCGAAAATGTCCATCAGCTGAGAAGCTTCCTAGGGCTTTGCACCTACTATAGGAAATTCGTGAAGGACTTTTCTTTCATCGCAAGACCCCTACACAAGCTGACAGAGAGCAACCAAAAGTTCTTGTGGACAAAAGAATGCGAGGATGCATTTAACAACTTAAAGGAGGCTTTAACATCTGCTCCAATCCTGACGTATCCTCAGCTTGACCGACCATTTATTCTCGACACCGACGCGAGTAATGAAAGTGTTGGTGCTGTTTTGTCCCAAGAAATAGACGGCCAAGAACGTGTAGTGGCGTACTGGAGCAAGTGCCTGTCTAAACCGGAGAGGAATTATTGCGTCACCAGGAAAGAGTTGCTCGCCATAGTCAAAGCTGTAGAACAGTTCCATCACTATCTATACGGCAGAAAATTTTTGCTCCGCACCGATCATGCATCATTGACCTGGCTTTTAAATTTCAAGAGTCCTGAGGGTCAAATAGCCAGGTGGATACAGAGACTCCAAGAATATGACATCACTATCCGTCATCATAAGGGATCATCACACGGAAACGCCGACGCCCTGTCTAGAAGACCTTGCCAAGAAAACTGTCGATATTGTTCCAGGGTGGAAGCGAAATACGAGCTGCTGACTCCGGTCGCAAGACAAATTACAACATCAACATCTGCTGATCGAGAACCGTGGAGTGATGATGAAGTCAGGAAAGACCAGCTGGAAGACCGCGACATTAAACCCATAATTGATTTAATAGAGTCGTCAAACAGAAAACCTACCTGGCAGGACATTTCTATCTGTAGTCCTACAACCAAACAATATTGGGCACTCTGGGATTCACTTCACATTCGAAAACGGCGTCTTATACCGGAAATTCGAATCGGATGATGGGAAGACGTTTCCGATGGCAGCTGATACTTCCAAGATCCCGCATTCCTGATGTCCTTAAAGAACTACATAACAGCCCTACGGAGGTCACTTTGGAATAATGAAGACCTTACAGAGAGTTCGTGAGCGCTTTTACTGGAATAATGCAAAGGATGACGTGCAAAAGTGGTGCCGATCTTGCGATGCCTGTGCAGGTAGGAAAGGACCTAAGAGACGCAGCCGAGGCAAGCTGCAACGTTACAACGTAGGGGCGCCTTTTGAACGAATCGCCTTTGACATCCTGGGACCTCTGCCACGAACTGCTGATGGCAACAAATACATACTCGTTGTCGTTGATTACTTCACCAAGTGGCCTGAAGCTTATCCTATTCCTGATCAAGAGGCTGTCACAGTAGCTGAGGTAATGATACAGCACTGGATTTCCAGGTTCGGAGTGCCTCTTCAGTTACATTCCGATCAGGGAAGGAATTTTACCGTAGTAATCAAAGAACTATGCAAACTACTCGACATTGACAAGACCCAAACGACGCCATTACATCCCCAGTCGGACGGCATGGTAGAGAGGTTCAATCGAACCATCCTTAATAACCTCTCATTAGTGGTTTCCAGAAACCAGCAGGACTGGGACAAGAAATTATCGCTGTTTTTACTGGCTTACCGCAGTGCTGTCCACGAGACTACCGGCTGTTCTCCATCCCAGAAGCTCTTCGGTCGAGAGCTTCGTCTGCCTTGTGACCGCCTGTTTAGTCGCCCTACGGATGCGCCTTCATCGCCTGAGGAACACATCCAAGATGCCCAGGCCCGGTTTGAGGGGATGCACCGTTCTGCACGAAAGCGAGTCAACTTGGCGACGGAGAAAATGAAGACCAAATGCGACACAAGAGCTACTAGACATAGATCCAACAAAAGAAGACAAGGTGTGGTTGTGGAACCCAATTCAACGAAAAGGACTGAGTCCTAAATTACAGTCACCTTCGGATGGTCCATATACAGTGCTGAACACGAATGACGTCGTGGTTCGGATCCGTGAGTCTTCGAACTCTTACGACAGGTTAGCTTAATTACTATGGCCATAGTGCATAATGTAAATAATTGTAAATAGTATCAGACCATGGTCCTTTTTGTTTTTAAATGTGTGTTTGATTTGATTTGTATTTAGTATTTGATTTGCATTTAGTATTTGATTTGTATTTAGTATTTGTTTTGTATTTAGTATTTGATAGCACTTGATTTGTTTATTTATTGCATTTATTGTTCATGTTGTTTATTATTGTAATGTAATGCTTATTAATGCATTTATGCCACAGTTGTAAGTTTAGCTTCCTGTCCAGGGATTGTACTGCCCGGGACGTGCAGTCCTTGGGAAGGGGGGCAGTGTTACGAATTTGGTATTTAAAAAGCTAATGTTAGTTCAATTATAAATTAAATGGTTTTATTTCTCGCGCAGTGCAGCGCGTGACGAATATTAAAAGAAAGCTAAGCCGGAAAATTGAAAATACAAGAGCGCGTGCATTAAATAAATAAATATCTCTTTTTGATTTCGAGAAAGTGCTGGAAAATTCTAGCGCGTGATTTTAAAATCTTATAAAAGGAGGAAAACATCTCAGTTTGTAGCAGTTGTTTAGTTTGTTGTTGTTTAGAAAACTACTGTTGTTGATTGTAGCGAATTCGCGGATTAGCGTTCTTTAGCTGTTTTGAATTACGTTCTATTGGACATTTGAGTAGTTAAAAGATAACTACTGTGAGATATTGTAATACTGCATGATAATTTGAGAAAATTTAAGCATTTTTGTTGTGATAATAATAAATTTTTGTTCATTTTTCATCGGACTTGTGCATTCATTTCATAACGAACCCGTACGCACGCAACAATATATACACTCTTACAAACAAACAAACAAAAAAAACCGGCGCACCAAGAAGGAGTTATCCGAACGGGACGAAAATCGGTAGAAGTGATGTACATGTACAGAAAAAGAAATGATTACGGTTTGAGAAAAATTGGATGATTTATTGGAAGTGATAGAGCTTCACAAAGTGAAAAAATCAGTAACGCGTTTGTCCACTTCCGGCCCTTATGCAAGCAGTTATTCGGCTTGGCATCGATTGATAGAGGTTGCGGATTGAGGGATATCGTGGAAATTTCTATCCAATTGGCGCGTTAGATCGTCAACATCCCGAGCTGGTTGGAGGGCCCGGCTCAAAATGTTCCAAACGTGCTCAATAGAAGAGAGATCCGGCGACCTTGCTGGACAAGGTAATGTTCCGAAAGCACTAAGAAACATGTACAGTGTGGGGACGGGTATTGTCTTGCTGAAATGTAAGCCCAGGGTGGCGTGGCGTGAAGAGTAACACGACGAGCTTTACGTTGTACAGAGGTCAATGGTAGTCGGCGCAAGGGACGCCGTGACCTCAGCCCCCTTTTTGTGGGCCGTCTATGAATGGTCCTTGCGGTGACTGAAGCACTAGTTGCACGTACAATCGATGATAATGATGCCTCTGGGACTGTGAGTGCCGCTCTGACGATTGCTCGGTCTTCACGTTCTGTCGTTTCTTTAGGCCTACCGTTTCCTTCCTGACGCTGTGTGCGGCCATGGTTCACCCATTCCTGCCAACATCGTCTAATAGTGGCATCGCTCCTGCTCAAATGTCGAGCTATTCGCCAATAAGACCAACCGGCTTTTTTGAGCTCAACTACACAACCTCTCTCAAATTCTGAGATCTGCGCATATAGTTCGCGCACCTGTAGGCGAGGCATAGTTACTGTCTACCAGAGTACATGGAATGAAATTCGTGAAGAATTTACGACCTGGAATCGTAATTTCTCCTCTTAAATATCCTGCTAGTTTCGCAGATCAGATGCGCTGTAGCGACGACCGTTCATTCATTGGCAGACAAAATGTAAAATTTTGCATTTTCTGTCGAAACCTGTATGCATATCAATTTGTGTCCAATTTGCTTTATATCTTCTCTGAACAAGATGTACCTGCAGCCGGAATATGAAGGTAAAGTGTCTCACCTGCCGAGTCAACCCTTACATCATGACCACACAGTTAATATTGAAGTACTGTACCGAATGGTCTGACCATTGGTCATTGGTTAAAAAATCAGGGCACGCCGTCCCCCCCCCCATTTTGAAATTATCTAATGTACAAAAGTGAATCAATATATAAATTTTCTCTACATTTTTAAATATTTTTTCTGCCCAGCTGAAGAACAAACAAATGTATATTTAAACAGTGAAACACAGCTAAATGTTTAAGGTCTTAAATTTGTGCTTGATTATTCTTACATGACATCATTATTTTTTTATGCCAAAATATATAACGATTATACGTAAGGCTTTTTCGTCTTCTTTATTCTCACGGTTATTCTGTAGTTTACGTGGCTTTCAGTGGCTCATGCGCAGTAATGCTCAATTCATTCGATTCAGTAATGGCGGCTATTTTGCTGTTGAGTTTCGGTGGAGGAGGTTAAAGTAAATTCTTTATCGCATATTTTCAAAGGGAAAAGATTGTCTTTTTATGTTTTGAAGCAGGGTATGTATATTTTATGACATTTATGAATACAGCGGGCAATTTTCTTATATTTTGTTTTTAACTTCGATGTAATTGTAGTATGTTTTGGTTTAAAGTCGAAAGTACTTCGGAGAACTTCCATACATTTTATATGAAGTTCAGTTTACTTTTTTCTAAATTTTGCTATTTAAGTATTTTTTTTTTTTTTTTTTTTTTTTTTTTTATTTCAGTGTTTAATAGCGCTGCTTTCGATTAAACAAGCTTACGCAATTGTAATGTGTAAGAATGTTCTAAGAATTTTATTTATTGTACTTATTCTTTATTACGATTGTGAATGTATAATAATGAGAAATATGCTTTTTATTTTGTGTAATTAATTTTACTGCATTGTCCAAAAAATTTTTTTTTGCAATCTTTTGAATAAATGCAGTTTATTAATATTAACATTAAGGTACTCTATTTCATGCCGTTCATTGCTGTTTTGCAAGTGAAATAAGTATACTAATTATGTTTATAAATAAATAATATTGCTTTTAATAAATTAGAAAACAATTCAGTTAACTACTCAATGTTTTAAGAATTTTATTTACTTTTACTTAATTTGTATACAGGAAGAGCTCAAGAGCCGGTGCAGTCGTATTGGGTTATAGAATTTAGGGACGGCAAAATTGTCAGAATTCAGAGAAGTAAGGAACAGTAAAATTTAAGGATGAAATTTCTAGAATTTAGAGGAAACACTAGGCAGCAGAACTTAGGGGCGCTAAACTGTTTTAGATTTAGAGAAATGCAAGGTAGCAGAATATAAGATCAGAAGGGATTGTACCGGGCGGCAAAAATACCTAGCTCCGGACTTGTTTATATGTTCAATAAAAATAAAAATTAAAATTAAAAAAAAAAAAAAAAAAAAAAAAAAACTTACTAAAATGTAGTTTTGGTAAAAATGGTTTTCAATTTTCAAATTTGCTAAAAGACGGAAATTGTATTTAAATTCTTAACCATATATTCGGTGCGATTTCTCATATAATTTTAGAGATTATCGGGGTTTTCATCCGCAGAGAACCCGTTGGCGCTTCGGGAAAGAACCCTTTGGCGCCGTTGCAGTTTTACTCGCCAAGCTCGCGGCTCATCGAGGATGAGCCGAGCCGTAAGCGTGATATTTTGTAAACGTGGTTTTTAGTAATGTAAATTCAAGTTAGCAGACAATGGTAGTAAAAATTCACAGATAATAAGTATGTAGATATAAAACTAACAGGTTAAACGTGATATACGAAAATAAATTTCTATTAAATTCAAGTTAGCACAGAAAACAATGTATTAAACATAACGAAGTAAAAATTCATTTAAAGAATAACAATTAGTATTCTTATGCTTACGTTTACTATATACTTATATGTATTTTCTCTAATTTATATAGAATACTAATATTTCTATTACAAATGTCTTTTTTCACTATTAAGTACTTTGCCTGTTGATACATAAAATTGATGTATTTCGGTAAGAGCCATGCCCATGTAATAAATTAATGAATGCGTGACCTTCAATATATCCATTTTACATAGTTTTAAGTTTTTTTTTTTTTTTTTCCAAGTTACTTGCATACAGCTTAAAGCATTTTACGGTGAAACAAATACCTATCCTTTTTCATAATATATTTCACAATACAAATAACCTTCAACAGTAATCAAATTTTCTTCAGTAGCATTTTTAATAAAACTAGAATTTTATACATTTTAAAATTATTATAGGGGTTGGAAACCTCATGGTTCTGCGTGCTTACAGCTGTTAATAATTAAGAACATAACGTGAACAGCCATGTTACAAATTAGCATTCACCCCTCCCGCCATAATTTCTTCCTTCGATCCCGAACTGACGACCCGAGAACCGGCATCTTTCGACGAAAACTTCTTTAATTATGCGAAAATATTTCTATCTATTCGTTGTTAAAAAATTCAGAAAAAATAATAATAAATAAGAGAAAAATAATATAAATCTCCAAATGCAAAATGCGAACAACGACAACCTTCGCATAAACGAATAGGATGAATTAGCTAGGTTACCAGGTTTGAACTATTATCGCTAAAGTTTACATTTACCGGGTTCTCTGCGGAAGTGCTTCCCTGCAATAAATACTTTGAAAAAATTACATATGCAAAACTTTTTCTCCTGAATTTAATTTCTACAGCTTTTACAATAGCTTAAATGTCGTTCTTTTTTAGTTCAAAAATTTTTCAGCTGAATGTTTTGAAGCCTAAAATGAGCATTTTGGTTCCTAAATCAATCTAAGGCTCACCAGCGGCCGAGCGGTAAAGTCGCTGAACACTGGTAGTTCGGTCCGAGGTTCGAATCTTGCGAACGGGCCGGCTGCATGGGCGTTTTCGTGGTTTTCCCCATGTGTAACGTGTATACAAGCCAGTTTCCCTTAGAAAGTCCTCCACGAAGGCATCCCTCCCTTCAGGCAGATAGCCCTCGTGTGCTTTGCCATAATTGAATAATCCAATCCTAAATCAATCTAACCAGGCCAAAACTTTTCTACAGTTGCTACAGATTGTCAAATCTGAAAGTTTTTCTCTTATTGTCATAAACTTCAAAGTCAAAAAGTCCACAGCTTATCATAATTCAGTGTAAAAACAATAATGCATAAGAAAAAAGAGAACGTTTTTCTTTTATTGTCATAAACTTAAAATATCCACAGCTTATCATAATTCAATCTAAAAGTAATAATGCGTGGACGTTTTCGTTGTTTTCACTATGTTTAACGTGAATACGAGCCTGTTTCCCTTAGAAAGTTCGCCATGAAAGCATTCCTCGTCTTAGGCGGGGTTCTTTGCTGACTTTTCCATAATTAAACCAAACCAAGCCATTTTTCTGGAAAATTTACTGCAGATGCCAATGCATATTGGAAAAATAGGGCTTCTAATTTTTTATGGCTACGGTCACCCATTCTTTTAAACGCCACCAAGAACAACAATAAATCATCAGTGACAGTCCTAATGTAGATTACGTAATTTTGGCAAAGAAAAGCACATGCACTATTTGTTTAGCACAGAGTTTCTCAACCTATTTTATCCCGTGCACCCAAACCCGCCACCTGTAAAGACCCTGAACACTGTTAGTTCGATTTACGATCGAATCCCGAAGAACAGGCTGGCTGTATGGTTGGGTTTTCGCATGTGTAACGTGGATATGAGCCAGTTTCCCTTAAAATGTTTTCCATGAAGGCATTCCCACCCATAAGCAGAGAACCCTCGAGTTGCTTTGTCTTAATTAACCTAACCCCATGCACCCCCTTTTGCTATTGCTAGAAGATTATTTCCTTCGAAAAATGCATATACATTTATTTAGATTTTTAATATCTTTAGCGTGTTTTTAAAAATTGAACAGCAAAACATATAGAAAATGTTGATAAACAAAATTTAGTTATGTTAAACTAAAAATAAATAATAGCTAAAAGGCTGACCGCATTTCTATTTCCCCTTAAACCCCATACAAGTAATGAGAAAATCGGTTTTTGAATTAATTTTAAAATATGTCTTTTGCTGTTCTATAAGGTGACTGCACTTTGCGATGATGTTTAATTTGCGATATAATTCAAATAGTTGCATTCACCATTATTTGTGATTCAAATGTTTGAAAGTTGGACTGACGTTTACACTAACCACGATCACTTAATTCAGGGTTACTTAAACTTTTTTCAGTCGCGACACCCTCTTATAATTGAGATTTTTCGCGACCCCACTGGACCCCATAATATTTACAAAAATTTTGTGGGACCCCGTAAGTATTCCGCAAATCCGACACACGCGTGATTGAAACTGTTAATTTTTTCACCTGTACTGTAATATACTATTGCAGTTTTATATCATTAACTTTAATTTCTAATTTTAAGACATAGAACAATGTGAAAATTTTAAATAAGTAACAGACGAAATGACAGCGTCATGTGCAAAGCAAAGAAAATGAACATCTATATTATAAAAAAAATCCGTCGAAACGTTTTCGTTTTTTCTTTGTCTGTATTGTCTTATCTTTATCTATTTTCAGATACATTGTGTAAAAATATTTCGTAATTGTAAAATTATTATAATAAGTTTAAAGAAATATCAAAACTGCACAAATTTTTGGCTACCCCTGCAGCTGGTCCCGTTGTCTTTGAGGACCGTAAAAATGGCTTGGTTGGGAGTCACGACCCACAGTTTAAGAAATTTGTTCTTAATTCATTAAAAAGGTTACCTGCAAGAGATTTTAGTTGGCTTCATTTTGCAGTTCAAGTATATTGAAAGCTAAATATTAAATTCGTAGACTGACATTTTTTTGATATACTAATCCTAGCATGTTAATCTTTCAATCATATACTTTAATTTAAACTAAAAATAAAGTAATTATGAAAATTTTCTAAGTTTTTCAAAGCAACATTTCCAAGTGGCACAAAAGTGCTACTTGGAAATAATAGAATAAATAATGGCAACCTAATTTCGTTCCATTTATTAATTTTGTTTTCTCTTTAATCCCAGTATATGGTGCACATGGGATTTGGCGACATTATGATGAGCAGTTAATGCAATATTTATGATGAGCAGTAAACTAGTCATTTTGGTGCTGGCGACAATTTTCCCAATCGGGCCACGGCCGCACCATATACTAAGAGTTTACCTTTTTTTTTTTTTTTTTTTTTTTTTTTTTTTTTTTTTTTTTTTTTTCCGGTACTATTCCGTTTTGAGGACCGTAGTAAAAAATCCCCAAACTATTGTTGATGCCAGTGCTGCCAAAAATAATTGCAGCAATCCTAATGCAAGAAAGGAAGTATAATAGTAAATAACTATTCTAAGATTGATGTTTTAATTTAGATTATACTAACTATTCTAATATATAACATAACTCTATCTATATCTATATAACTATTCTAAGATTATTATTATTAATTTCATATAATACTTTTTTATTATAATTTATATATATACGGCTAAACATAACTGAATGGAAGCATAAGAGTAAATAACTATTTCAGAAAATTATTATAATT